CCTGCTTGTGTAATGGGGTGAAGTCTAATTCACTTGACATTGTTTTATTTGAATCTTCCCATTGATGTTTTAGGACTGAAATTGATCAGTCTGTTATTGGCATATGTGCACATTGTGCGTATGCCTCGATATTGCCTTAATTTACAAGCATTATAAGCAAAGATGGATAGTGGCTAGCAGTGGAATTAAGGCAATGTCGAGGCATTCGCGCAGTATGCACATATGCCAATAACAGACTGATCAATTTCAGTCCTAAAACATCAATGGGAAGATTCAAGTAAAACAATATCAAGTGGAGAAAGTCTAATGGTTAAAACTAAACAGTACTTGAGGTGAGAAACAATAGAAATCGAATTTGATACTAAGCTCAGAAAACGTATTGTGAATAGAAGATATAGAAACACTTTTTTGCATTTCCCTGGGAACATGGGGAAAATTCCTCTACATATACTTATCCTGTGATCATTTCCTTTTTTACTTTTACATATTTTGTATTGATCGTCGTCCATATTCATGAAGAAATCCCACAGGTGTTCAGTGTTTGACAACGGTTTTGCACGTAACACCTTTACAAACAAGGGGTTTCAAACCAGAGAAATGTGAAGTCAGGAAAGTTTGAGTTCGAAGATATATTAGAAATCCAGTCAGTATGTTGAAATGTGTCTGATCTGAGCTAGCTAGTAGTTACAAGAGACGCGCAGACTGTCGTAGTCACTGGTGGCCTGGTGCAGATGAGTGACCGAGCGCCTACAGCTGGGGTGTATCCAGTAAAAAAAATTTGATCTTCACTGTAAACTGGCATGCCTCATGTAACATACTGTTATTTGAGAATATATCATTACTAATGAGGTCAATATCAGTGTTAAGGACTTACAGAACCATTTATTTGAGGAGTTGATTTGTGGTGGCATTGGGCCCCAACCACACAATCCTGAGCATTTGGCTTGCTTCTCGAGACGATTGCAGGACACTGAACTGAGGTATAACACTATTGTCGGGAGACTAGAAGCTATGTATTGTGTTCTACGGTACTTTCAAAATTCTGTGATAGGCCGAAAATTTACTCTGTATATCGACTTTAGAACTCACACCGTCTCTAATCTCGTTTGCAAATAAATAATCTTCTTGAGACACTTGAGAACTGGATTATGTTTTCAGTCAACAACATATTTCTTGAAAGATCAATGTAGTTGCAGGCGCCTTGGCTCGTACAACTTTCCTGAACAGTTCACATGGGAAGGATCTTCTTGAACTCGCCCAGTATCAAAAACAGCACACAAATCTTCGGCACGAGTTATCTTCAACAACCCGGAAACTACGAATCAAAAGATGTGGACGGGTAAGCAAATTTTACTTCGTGACGTATCACGTGTAACGAAATAGGAAAGACTAGATTCAAAGAGGTTTATCGGGAGTAAGAACTAAACAAGGCGAGTTTCCTCTTGGTCTCTAAATGTTTAAATGTCAAATTTATAAATTATACACCAGTAAACTTCGTTTTGAAAACTGCTTGCCTTCATTTTAAATGATGGTTAACACTGATACGTTCATGCTACATGCTCATAATTCGCAACTCAGACTTCAGTACTGTAAAATATGATTGATAGACGAACCCACCAATAATAAAGGAAACGCCCACCACCACATCAACTCTTTTTGACCTTGTACGACTGTATCTCTTTATTAACCAATCACAGTTTAATGTTCATTGTAAAACAATTTTGGCTTGTTGACTCATTTTTCCTATTCTCTAGCTACTGTTCGGCATGTTATTTGTCTCTGTTTTTCTCTGTATTAATAGACCGTACTGTTTGTTTGTACGCTAACGATGTTAATTTATGTTTTAGATACAGATAAAGTTTATATAGCCGAATAGCTTACTTGTTCCGACTTTGGCTAAACCAAGACTCTGTACTCGACAGTCTAGAGATTAGCTTAGAGTTGAATCTGTGGGAAATCGTTTCCTACAAGTACTGTTAGCTATAATCTTTCTTTTCCATTACTAAAGTAAAGTACTAATTTGGAAGTTCAAGTCTTATTGAAATCGACCCTATCATCGATAGAAAATATGTATTGTCTTCAGAAAATCACTCTTTGTGTCAAATATCACTCATTGATTTCACAGCATTCGAACGTTTAGCGATAATATGAGTTTACTGTCGTCACATACAATGGACGAACACAGTTATCTTCACTCTGAGCCATCCATCGGTACCGTCATTATTCTGAGTATCGTTTCCATTAAACCAGTCGCATTCTCGTGATAAGGGTAGGTCACTACAAGATGAACGTTCTAGTCACAACAGAGATGATAGTGATGAATTTGAACAATCGAAATAAAGTTTGAATTGTTACGAGACTTTAAAAACAATAAATTGCAACACAATATCAATGCAATTCATCGTGAAATCGGCTCTCAGTTTATAATGTCATTTAACCATTTAGTTCAGTAAATTGGCATGGAGAAAATTTTAACTTTAAAAATAAAACTTTAACGACGTTCACAACAACTACAATCCTCGTTATTCATACCTAATTCCTAACAAAACAACTACCTTTGAAATATACCATTGAACCCGTTCAGTCCTGCTTTCTGAATTGACTAGCTTTCAGACGCTCGACTAGAAGAGTGCTATGGGCAACTGCGTTGTCAGGCTTCGCATATCCGCGATATCTTTAGTTTATAAGACTGAGGACCTCACTGTGCAAAATACCAGGAAATCAGGGATCCCTACAACGCAGAATTTAGGATACCTATACTGTTGGATTAAAGAATATGGAAAAATTAATAAAACTTCAAAGTGAAGTTCATTTTCGCATTATTGATGAAAACCTCAAAGGCTTACAGTGACTTACTTTTATCACGAGAACGTATTGGTTTAATGAAAACAATTATTTTTATAACCAATTGTACCAGTGCTTGATTTAATGTGCTCTTTGTTTAACTGTGCTAATTACAGCCATTTTGTGCTCCCATTACCTTCCATCATTGTTCCGCGCTTTTTGACTTTGTTCTCACGCACTCCGTTCTCCTGCTTTCGCTTGTACCATTTCTTGGCACGATCTTGGCCAATGTTCGATACCACGAGATCGCCAATTGAATAAACTTGATTCCAATCCGCCTTCTGATTTATTTAGCACGTGTTTCTTGGTAGCGGTGTTCATAGTCAACTGGGACTCGACAACACGCTACAACTGGTGAGCCGAACTCTGGAACACGCCGCAAACTCTGGTCGAATCTTCCAAAGAAACCAATTCGGTTAGTCTATCGTTTATCTATCCACGTCCGTCGTATATTTTCATATTATTTTTCAATATATAATATACTCGACATGATGGATAGCAACTACAGTAGTATTAATATAACAGAATCCCATGTACGTGTACCGAATCCTTGGCACTTTTAATTCGCGTGACGGTAAATTCCACGCCTTATTCGAGAAATTTCCCCTCATTAACTATTCTCCTCGCTGACCATGCTGCTTGGTACGGAACGCATACGCATTACCGTATACCACCCAGCATCAAATGGTTAAGTTGAACGGTTCGATTGCCAACTTAAAAGTGCTCTACAAGAACACGTAAACGACAATTGGTACGAAACCTTACCTCTCATTCTCTTGGATATCAGAACGAGCTTGGACGCAGATATCCAATGTTCCGCCACTGAACTTGTATGCGGCACGACATTGCGTCTGCCCGGAGAATTCTTCACACCACGGAGCAGACCTGATTTCGGCAAATCAGACTACGTCCATGAACTGTCTGCATATATACGAACGCTGTCTCCGATGTAAACTCCAGTACAACATAGACAGGTCGCTCTCCCTCGAGAGTTATCTACCTGTTCACATGTTTTCATACGAGTAGATTCGGTACGCAAACCTTTGCAGCAACCGCACGAAGGATCTTTTCACGTGATCGCTCGTCAAGAAAAGACCTCCAAGGTTGGTCGACATGGCCGCGTCGAGACCGTCAGCATTGATCGTCTCAAACCAGCACACGTTGACAGTGCCCTATCTGATAACTTGAGATTCAATGCTAGACCTATCAAACCTAGCAGGATCTTTAAATCTTCTTCAGATCCCACGCTAGATACATCGGAGACCTCATTCTCACGTCCCGGTCAACTGCACGCGTCATCTGCACTGTCTACGAATGAGACGACAGTCTCACGTCCAGATCAGCAGGCTACGCCACCTCTGACCTCGGATGAGATCGCAGGCTCACGAGATACGAACGAGACTAGCGTCTCACATTCCGGTCGCCAAGTACGATTGCCCGTACGTTTCCGCGACTAGCAGCACAGCTAACAACAGATGCGGTGAAGGACTATTCCTATGCTACATGCATGCTACACTTTTTTGTTTCTTTTCTGTATCCTGAGCCCATGCCTTCGGACATCCGCGTTGGGTACCGTCGACTACAGTCAACTTTGGCGAAAGCTGGCCTGATCAACCACTCTCTTGTCAACGCACTCATTCGATATTCTGGTTTCGAATCTGCCTGGCACATGTTTGTTTTCGCACTTGGTCGTTATGGTCGCTTCTGGTTTCTTGGCTCAACGTGGTTTTGTCCAACGTCTGCAGAGTTCCTGGTCCGAATCCCTACGAACGCAATCTTCAGATTCTGGATACAAACCACCCTGGTGTGGTATGCCAACTCGAGCAACAAATATAGCACACCACCCCGTGGTACCGTTCTCCGAAAAAGACCTTCGTTGGCAACTCGACGATCAACGATCGCTTTCTTGTTCCGCCAATTCTTCCGTCCTACAATCGCTCGTCAGCAGACCAGTCCCACGATTTTATTCGCTACTTATTGAAAGTGTAAACCCTTTCTAGCGGGGGGCTCGTGACTTACTTTTATCACGAAAACACAATTGGTTTAATGAAAACAATTATTATTGTTACCAACTGTACCAGTCCTTGATTTAATGTGCTCTTTGTTTAACTGTGCTAATGACAGCTATATTGTGCTTATATTATTAGTCTTACACTTTGGTTGTGACCTCGCGCGAATTCGATTACGCTCTGTAACCAAGCTTGTATCCTTGCACGATCTCGGTATTCTTTCGATACCACGAGATCGCCAGCAAATATATCTCGACTTGTTCCGTTAACTGACTTCTGATATTTGGCTTCTGGGGGATTTTATTGATATCCTGGCACGCCTTCCTTTTGTAGTGGTGTTCATTGTCAACCGCGACTCGACACCACACTATAGGCTCATACACACGTTCATTAATAGTGTTAGATATGTGCATCAATTGTAAATGAACTGCTTTTCCGTCGAAAATCGTTACACAGCGAAATATTGTTGTCTTCACAGTCAAAAATGCTTATTGGTCGTTAATACATTTTCAAGTGTTCGGCTAAAAAACCATTAAAATAAACAAATCGAATGAGAATATTTAATAGAGATAATTTCAGAAGAGTAAGATGCTGGTAAGTTCACTTAATAATGTTTTTAGTTCAAACGTTGGAAATTTAAGTGAACGTTTGGTTATTTTCAGTTGGTAGCGCTCTTTTTGAGATGTGACCTTGAGGGATGCAGAATTCTAACAGTATTCTAAATTTAGTTCTGATTGGCTTTCATCACAGGAAGGGGTCTGTTGTAAGTAGTTTGCTTCATAAACAAGTTTGATTTCACAAGGTTGAGCTAGTCTATCCCTCACTGTCATGTGATGGTTCTGATCCTACACATCTCCCTCATCCTTGGCGTCATTTGCCTGCTTTAGCAATAGCCGATGGAGCCCATAACTACACAAAAGGTTGGTCACAAACATTATTAGTTAATTTATTCAGATTGCACATATTTCAGCTTACCTTCAATAGAGAAGAAGGATGTTGCTGTCTTTGGAATTGCTTGTTACCGCCAGGCAGACTCGGCTGTAAGTTTTCATGTTTTTTTAATGACTGATTGTATTATCTTGGAATACTTTGTTAAAGAATACATTCCACCATGCGGTTACAACTGATGTCACTACCCCGCTGCAGATATTTTAGTCTATTCAAATGTCATGAATTAATTTTTAGAGAATCCTCATGAAACTGCTGCACTGTTAACAGAAATATATTTTGTCAAGGTGTCAACCTACCGTGGCGTTATTCACATCGCCTGGCAAGCTACAAATTCCTATAGAGCTCCCAGTATCATCGCCTAAGGCTTCCCGTCCGGGCGTCCAAACTGATAATTGCTCTGTATTAATATTTGGATATCTGATGTTGCTTCAGGATTGGGTTACATCGACACCCGAACTAGTGATAGGGAGTGAAGTAGTTGAGCGTGTCGACCGCTTCACCTATCTTGGAGGTCTCGTCAGCCCTTGTGGTCTGGTGTGTGACGAAATCTCAGTACGGATACAGAAGGCTCGACTAGCTTTTGCCAACTTGCGTCATTTATGGCGTAGGCGAGATATCCGTCTATCAACCAAAGGACGCGTTTACTACGCAACAGTTCGTTCCGTCTACTTTATGGCAGTGAAACATGGCCGGTAAGAGTAGAGGATATTCGTAGGTTACTAGTATTTGATCATAGGTGTCTTCGAAACATTGCTCGTATATCATGGGACCACCGAGTAAGTAACACAGTTGTTAGGAAACGGGTACTAGGTAAGGATGGCAAATCAATTGATGAAGTAGTGAAATTTCATCAGTTGAGATGGCCGGGACACGTGTTACGTATGTCCAACGACCGACTGCCTCGACGTGCTATGTTCAGTGGTATAGGAGTAGGTTGGAAGAAAGCTAGGGGCGGCCAAACCAAAACATGGCACAAGTTCATGAAGTCACTGACAAGTGGACTGAGTCATGTTGGTAGGTGTAGACTACCTGGTTGGGGACCACGAGATGATAGCAACCGATGGTTAGAGACCGTGAATGACATGGCTCAAAATCGTTTGCAATGGCGCAGGTGCATCCACTTTCTGTGTTCTCCCAGATTCTAATCTGAATTCTCCATGTCCCTTTTTTCCTCTTTCCAAATTTATTTCACTGGATTATACTCTTTAAATAACATCTCCAAACCCTAATCTTCCCTATTACTGCTTATACTCTTGCTACCTCTACCACTACGGGATTTAAATCGACAACTGCATCTCTGTGCTAAGGTGGTGTGGCAACTCGAACTGATGTATGTACGTACGAAGTTCTACGTTGTTACTGACTGACTGATCTGATGTAGTGGCTCATACTGGCCCACAATTTTTAGACAAAGATGCTCTAAACTAAACTGCTGTGTCTGTACCAGTTTTTCTTGTCTGAATTTTCTTTTTTTTCCGGTCATCGATGGTCAGGAAATATAACTCTCCATTAATTACTTATTTCTTATTATCGTCTAAAAGCGAAAAGTTGACAAATTTTAATTGCACTTTCCATTTTTAGTCGTATGTTCAACCTAATCCTGAGATCACTCGAAACACTGTACAAAAAAGCTTGGTTGTACTATCGAGATTTGTAAGTAGTATACAGTAATCCCTATTGTGTTTTCATTTGTAATCGTTTTAGGCAAATATAGTTACCACTTAAATCCATTTTTTAAGTTTTCAGCTATACACAATCTTGACAACCAAACTAAAGTATATTTTTATCGTTGGGATACTCATACTCTTTGTTTTCTGTGTTCTAATTCTTACTATTACTGTGGCACGTGTAAGTATTTAATTATAGCGAACGACAGTAGTACATAGTTATGATTGGATTGACCCCGGTCGTTACCACTACAATTGTTATTTCAATACGCATAAGTTTAGAATCTGTTTATAATTATTTTTCAAGTATATACAATGAAAAATATCAATTCACTTCAGGGTATCGCAAAATATACCTCGATGTCTTTGTTGTTGGCTTAGGATGCCGAACTGGGCAATGTAGTCACATACTATGGTGACTTCATTTGAACGTGCGGGCTAGGAAGTTTACAGTAGAAACTATTAATAAATAGTGTATATCCTTATCATTACCAGTTTTTACCCAAATATTTAAAAAATCATTTTTTCTTCATTGTTAATTTTATGGATACATGAAAATTGGCTGTCGAGTCTCGAAATACCTAATTGATCTATCCTATGGATTCCATATTCTGTTAAGGTGAATCTAAATGGATTTAGGAGGTAGTGTAAATCTATGTCACTGCATCACAGAGTTTTGATTATTAGATCTTGATTTTTGACTTCACACAGATTTCAGATATCGATAGCCTCAACATGTGTTTTGGAGCGCGGTTTTACAAGGCCATAAACATTATTTCATAAGCTCCAATTATTCGTGTTAGTTGCATTTGATGTAAATCAAGCTATCGAGAAAACATTGATAAGGGAAGTGAGTGTGAGACGCTCTCGGAAAAAGCTGATACTTATCTGCTATCAGTCCAGACGTTTAAAACGATGGGCGGGACACTTTAAGGAGTTCAGCTGGCCTTCAGCTATTCTATAGCTGCCCACCATTCCCAAATAGCCTGAATGAAACATTGATGTAGCCCCCCCGACTCTAATTGAAGTTCAGAAAGCTATAGCTAATCTGAAACAAGGAAGGGCAACTGGTCCAGATAAATTCCCTTCAGATGTCTCTAATTATAGTGGTCCAGTTTTAGCGATTAGGTTGACTAATATTTTAGCTAAAATCTAGGAGTTGGACATAATCCCATCTGACTGGTCGCAATCACTTGTCCCAATATATACAGGAATCGGTCAAAATCATCCTGTGATAGCCATGTACTGATTAGTTTGAGTAATATGGCATCTAAAATACTAGCTTCAATAATAATCCTGTTTGGTGAAGATGCTGATAAAATCTATAGTGTTTTGTTAGCACTGACAAACAATGCCAGGATGTTTGGAATGCGTTTCTCACTTTCTAAATGCAAATTGTTGCTTCAGAACTGATCTGCGCCTACATGTGAACCGAAAAATAGAGTGAAGTAGTCGAACGCGTCGACAACTTCACTTATCTCGGAAGTCTGGTCAGCCCCAATGGGTTGGCGTCTGACGAAATCTCTGCACGGATTGAGAAAGCTCATTTGGCTTTTGCCAACTTATGTCACCACCTATGGCGAAGGCAAGATATCCGTCTGTCGATTAGCGGACGGGTGTATTGTGCAGCAGTTCGTTCTGTTTTACTTTACGACTGCGAAACGTGGCCATTAAGAGTAGAAGATATCACTAATAATTCTTAGAGTACAGTGAAAATCAATTTACTCCAAGATTATAAAAAGATCAAGTAATCAAAAACGACCAAATTATTAATTCGTTATGGTGAAGTTCTCAATTAAAATTTGTCGACTTTGCTCATTCCAACCTTCTTCCAACCCTGTAATTAAAATCCATAAAAATACAAAAATAGCTTTTATGTGTATCGTTTTAAAGCTTTACTGGAATTTAAAAAGTGCGAAGATAACCGCATTTTAAGTGGTCTTATTATCCTTGATACTGTCCATAGTTTGTCTTATGTAATACATTTTTTTACTTCACACATTTCAGTGCAGATAGTACTACCTGTTCTTCAGAATAATAGGTGGTTGTGATGAGAATGTCCCACTTGATCTTGGTTAATCGTACAATCACACTTTTTTAAATATTTATCACGTCTTAATTTAGAGGGACTTAAAAGTAGATAACCTATTCAGTACAGGAACACGTTATAAACAACGTAATTCTTGAAGTGAATAATTTCATTTTCTAACCCTTTTAGTCATCTTATTTTCTAACGTGTAATTTCTCCCACCAATTGGGTTTTTTTCCAATTTTCCTTGCTAATCGACCTCTATTCATTCCAATCCCAAGTAGACAACATTTCCAATGGATGTTAATGTGTTGGACGTTTCACACCTATGTACATGTATCACAAAAACGTGTGCTGAATCTTGACATTTCTCAGATATCAATAATGGTACTTGGTGTTATATAAAAGACTTAATGATCTAAATATTCCACTGCAAGTTGTATGTGCATTATATAATACCTCATGCCACTTAACTGTAAATACAAGTAATTTACAGTAATAAAACCTTTCGATTGATGTCGGTTCCATTCAACCGTCAATATCACCCAGTAGCATATTTAATCACAATATATTACTGTTTGCAGTTTTTTAATTTGTAAATATTTTCTCTTTTACTTTTTTTCTCTAGCCACTTTTTAGTTTCATCGCCCATCATCTTACGACAATAATTGATAATCTGTTTAAAAGCAAAGGTTTTACTCCAGAAAGTCTCCAGAACTCATATGAACAATTAAGTCAGTTTGTAGACACTGTTTTAAGTGATCCAGTTTCTTACCAAGGTATGGTTATATGGTGTGCTTAATTTTCAACTAATTAGCTTTTTTTCCTAGTAACCGACTTTTGAAGCGCTGTTGTGATTGGTTCACAAAATAGTTTTTTGACACAGAACATACCGATCCACAATAAAAGCATTACTTTAGAAAAATCAACACGTTAACAAATTATTTGACTTAGTAACCACTTATCTGAAGTGTTTAGCAAAGTATATACTTGAATGTAAATCGTTTTTGTTAATCATAGGGTCATTGTAGGACACTAAGCAGTCGATAAATTCGGTCCCATAATTCGTAGTCTAGTTTCTGATGTGCACATCAAGGTTATGTATTGGGATTACACTTGGTTGAATAGTACGAGATAGAAGTTTTGTACTGATGAAAACTCCAAAACCTTTGGTGAAATGTCCGTGTACAAATTTCATAAAGCAATAAACAGTTGTTACCCTCACCACAAAATGCATACTATCACACTTTTATCAAAAACACCCTACCGAATTGTTACTTTGATCACAATGAGTCTTTCGCTAAGTGTTCATCTTCAGTAAAATTGATTTCACTTTATTTCATATATTTGAAAGAAAATGAATAAAAAAATCAGCTCATTCACCAGGTAGTTGAATATCAGTCACACTCTAAATGTGAGAGCTAACGCCACTACTCGACTGCTGAAACTGCCATAGGTGGAGCGGGATTGACATAAATAGAACTTAGGTATTTCCTTAACTAAAAATAGATTACTAATTATTTTTGTATCGTTAAAAACAATTACATTCATTAAAGGGTTTTAAACATATGACTGTTTTATAAATGTCTAGTGAAAAAGAGCTTTGTTACACTCATTATTTACGAATTCATTGTATATGTGTGTGATGTCGACAATTGATTCGTAACTAGCAGATGTCAGGTCCCAATTCAGTCAACTGGATAACATTACCATCAGAGCACACAATAGTCACTTAAACTGTAAAATTGTATTTATAAGTGATTTTTTTACATGGAGTATTATGTTCTTAAGTAGGGTGTGCTGCGAAATTATCAAACTAATCCAATTATTGACTGCAAAAGTCTTTAAACATTAAGTAGTATTCCTCATTTAATAAACTTACTTAAGATTTCAAGTATAGAATGTAATAACCTATAAATGAAATGGTGTTATTTCGAAATAATTGATGTTCTCAAAAGTTTTCAGGTATTGAATAAAATGGTTATTGTATCATTTAGCAAAGTAATCAAAAGTTATTAAAATGTTAAGCTGTGCAAGTTTCAGACTTATTAGGAACTAATAATTTGCACAATAATCATCTCATATATGAGAGAAAAAAAGTGAAGAATAAGATAAAACTTTGCACTTTCTATTAGTAAAATTAAGAGGGATGATAAGTTCATGGAAGAAAAATGAGTTGAATAGAACATCTTTCTGAAAGATCTAGATAGTCTGTTTTTTAAAAATATCTTTTCAACTTTATCTTCCCTGAATTCACTGTTCATGAATAAAACTTCGGAATTTCGTGAGTACTTTGAACTTGACATTTTGGTTTCAGGTTGCTATCAATAGACTTGGTCGGGGAACTGTGGTGTTTGCTACCGATATTGGTGTGGAGACGAAGGGACAATAAAGTCTGAGACAATTGATTGACATTTTGCAAATGAAGTATTTACTGTATGGTTCTCCAATATTGCTAAAAGATTATGTAATTTTGTGTTTAAATTCATTCGGTTGTCCTCACTGGTGTTTTCGTTCACTACGAAACCACTCTCCAAAAGTATTCTGCAGACTTTACTCATTTCATCATCAATGATCTCTTCTCTACATGTTCGTCTAGTTATTTAGGGTATAGAGGGGATTAAATATCTCTTCCTACTTACCAGCATTCAACTCTGAAAGTTCGTATGACTATCCGTCCCAGGTTGGTCTTTTGTATATCTATCGTTGTAAAGATCAAACTTGTCTTCGTTGCTCTGATAAATTTAATAGCTACCATTCTAGTCCAAATTAACTTTTTTCCTAATAACTGATTTTAACTTGAAGCTGGAGCATTTCCGAGTATGCTGACTAATCTGAGTTGATAGTTCAGCAAATATTTGCATAATTCACAACAAAAGTTCTATAGAACACTTATTATTATAAACAAAAGTTTCGTTACATTTTCAAAAATTATTTTATTTATCAGTTATTCGCCTATCGTAACTACCTTTTTTTCAAAATTGTCGTACATTAGTGAAAACTTTAATGAATTTCTGTTCTATTGTTGTTTTATAATCTTATTAACTTGTCTATTTTTGTTTTCTATTTCAACATCTTCATAGATGCACTATTTTATAATCTAAGTGCGTCCAATTTTGTTCGCGTTTACAAACGTGACGCATTATGTCTATTCAAATTACTTTTATTGGAAAGACGTATTTTATTTACGGGAGATTCTGGCGGAACTCTATCAAATTGGATGTTAACTTTACTCAGTTTGTATCCAGGTAATCAAATTTATGTTATTTATTTCTTGTAATAATTTTTGTCTTCTATACAATTTCGAATCACAATTTATTTGAAAGTGTAAACATTCATTAAGATATGTAATTTCACAATGCAATTTTAATTATAGTTTATATAATCAAATTCACTGCTAAGTTTTTTGATGATCTGATAGTATTATAAATTATCTTGACATATATATTGACAGGCCATGAACTCACGAAAATCAAGGTTTTTAAATGATTGGTCTAATTTAACTTAAGGAATATAGCCCTAGAAAAATGAAAAGGTGTTTTTGACAGCAAACTCAGGTCCATATCCAGAAAGACAGTTTGATCTATGCAATGAATTCAGAACATAGTGCTATAAATGCACTAACCTCCTTCCCCCAACTTTCATATGATTGTAAGCCCCTGCATTATTTTCCTCGCGAGGAGAAACCAGAAAGAACTATAAATCAAACTCTAATACATATGTAACTGAATTATTTTAAATCAGAGGAAATTATGTTAAACAAGGATAGGGTGTTTTGCTGTTATATATATACTAGTAATTTTGTCTAACCTATTATTACGGTGCTTGCCAGTCAATTTTTCATCCAAGAGAACAGATGAGGTTGATATATTTTACATTTTACTCTCTACTGCTGATTTTATCATGAATTCATTGGTTGTTATATCTCTTTAATTAATATTTCTGTTATCGTACGTTTCAACAGATATGTTACGTAGTGGTTTGTCACAATGTTCCGTTATTGATCCCTCATGGATTTCAGAAACAAGTTATTGGTCTAATATGAATGATTCCAGTTCAAATAGCTTTAATTCTTATCAGTATTCATTAGAAGGATCATTAACTAAGATCAGTGGACAAGTGTCAGAACAGAATACAGATTCAACTCTAAATAAAGTAAGCTTTCTTGTATGTGTCCAGGAACATCTTCATTTGTTATGGTTCTCAATGAAAAATTGTGATGTTAAATATTGCCGTTGATATGTAACCTTTCTCACTAATGATTTACAATTACGTTTTAGTGTTGGTTATTTATTATCGCACTGGAGAGACCAGGTTTTGTATATTTTCTGCGCTTTCTAGATGTCTTCATTTTCAGTACACCATAAGTATAGGTTTAACAACTGTTTCACAAACTCAGTCAAGAAAAACTATTCATTCTACAATTGGTTGTTGGAAGTCTTGTATACGAATAACTATTTGTTAAACGGTGTTTTGGGTAGTCAATTGCTGTTAAGTTATAAGATATTTTCAAATGTATCTATAAATACTACTAATGTTTCGTTATATGAATTCTTAAATCTACATTGTTAAAGCTTACTGGACAAGGAATAATAGACGACATTTCACTGGCTGCTTTAATCACGTTTCTTGTTCCCTGATCATTGCGTCAGTGCTCAGTAGTTATATTTCTTACAAAATTCGATTCATATATGTAGGTTGCTCAGTGGAGTCGCTTGAAGCTCTATATATACTACCAAAAAAGACCACGGTTTAGTGTAACTTGTTTGTTACTTGGAATCAAGTAACTACTTCTATGAATTCGGTGTTCATCTTGTTTTGCTAATGAGGTATGGCAACTTGGACCGATGCACTTATGTTTCTGGTCCTACGTTGTAGCTGACTGACTGACTTGGAATCAAGTATTATTAATACGGAATTACTGTTTATTTTATAGCCTTGGATAATGTACTCCTAGTTTCAATGAATAATATTGAATTGTAATGAAAGCATCATCGGATTCTCCTTAAATATCTATTCCATCCGTTTGTATTGGTTACTTTCATTCAAACAGAAAATAAACTTCCAATTAGTCATCTCCATTTTTTTCATTCTTTCATGTCCTTAACTTTTTCACAACAATAATAACTCATTTCAAATCCATTTCAATCTTCTAGGAAGAAGACGTTCAGCTTACTTCAAATGTTGATTCTAAGAACTCAGGTTTGTTTATTGGCCTATTATATAAAGATATTGTACGTGCTTTTTTTCACAAGTTCTCATTTTTATAATATGGGCGGATGTTTAATAGTGTCATCAAGACTCTAATGATATGTAATGGTTATTCAAAACGATACTTTCACCAACTATACTGCAATTATGACACTATAGCACATATACAGGGTTATTAATATCGCCTATCTATCAGTATCAGCCTTAGTGAATTGTTTACAGAACCCATTTTATAGCTTTTGTTAAAAATGACATCAGATGTGTGTAAACAACCGAATACTCATCTATATCGTATAAGCCATTTTACTTCGTATTTTCTATGGTATCTACTTATAGCCGTTTCGGTAGGTGCAGAATTTGAGGTCGATGTCTACGTGATTGTTCTAATCAATGGTTGGAGACTTGATATATTTGAGAATCAGTCGTAGTGAAACAGATACTTTCACTCATCGTCTTTTATAAGCTCTCAAGTGTTAAATTATCTTACATTTTTATTCTTGAATCATATTGTTTATGTTTAATGTTCACTACTACCATTAATAATGCTACTATATCTACTACTATGACATTCATCTTGAGAATTTTAGCTCTACGTACTCAGATGGTGATGATACACATATGTGAAAGGTTCAACGTTGCTTATGACTGACTTCTAATTTCTCTTCATTGTATCACCTGATGGTTTATATGAGTATATAAGTTATTTATAAAGATTTACTAAGGTGAAAACCGTTTTTAAGAAATTCTGTACCCAATTCATGGTCGGATTGACAATTTAATCTGCCAATCAGCATTTTGTAAATACTCATTCTATTTTTGGTTCCAGCCAATAATATTGATCCACAAAGAACTCATATAATAACTATACCTGACACATTACATACGGAATCAAAACAACCTGTAATAAATGAGTCTTATAAGAAATATCAAACCAACAATTTTCTGGAGAAAATAACTGACGATTCAATGTTCAAATTTTCGTTAAATTCACCATTTCCTACTGATGATTGGGGATTTCCTTTATCTGTATTTACGAAAGTGAGTTTTTTGTTATTCAGTTCTATGACTTCAATAATTTTCTCTAATTTACTATACCGTTAGACATAGATTATGCTTGAATAATTTTTCAATCATACTTGCTACAGTTAAATAACAATTATTTTTTTTTTTGCACAAAGTAGCATAAAACCTGTTTCCGTAGTGTATTTTTTAATTTTTCAGTTTTGAACCAACATCAAATGTAATACCAGGGACATAATCTAATGAAAGAAAACCTTTATCGGTATCATTTGTGGAAACAAATATGTCTGTTGGCATTCATTAGGAAACATTTTCAATTCTTAGGAGATCTCAGCTATCACAATTAATTGATCACTGGGTGGTGATCAATCTCATGCTTGTCTAGTCCTTATTAGTGCAGATCGAATGCTATCGATCATGTTGCAATGTGGCCACCAGTCTAGGTGACTCGACACTGCGGGCACTATGTATTGAGATTAGATGGTGGTTGGAGGTAGTCAACAGGAAACCCTGGATCGGGGTTTCGTGCTACTTGGCACTCGTCAGCAAGGTGTACCTGTAATCTTCAGGGAACTGGTGCTCCCTGGCGGATTCGATCTCGTGTCACCCAGCTTCACAGTCAGAGACGTTAACACTGAGCTATCCGAGCCGTGACTGACCTCCTGTAGGACTGAGATGTAATCACAATTGATTGATCACTGGGTGGTGGCAACATGATCGATAGCATTCGATCTGCACTAATAAGGACTAGACAAGCATGAGATTGATCACCACCCAGTGATCAATCAATTGTGATTACATCTCAGTCCTACAGGAGGTCAGTCACGGCTCGGATAGCTCAGTGGTAACGTCTCTGACTGTAAAGCTGGGTGACACGAGATCGAATCCGCCAGGGAGCACCAGTTCCCTTAAGATTACAGGTACACCTTGCTGACGAGTGCCAAGTAGCACGAAACCCGGATCCAGGGTTTCCTGTTGACTACCTCCAACCACCATCTAGATCTCAGCTATATCAAGTAATCTGGCAAAACTGAGCTATCAGATCGCGAAGCACCATGTTCAGCTGGAGCTTCTCATAATTTTGGCAAACATTTTATAAATTCAATGACATCCAACACATGAAATATATGTATTTATTTAACTGTCCAAGTATAAAAAAAAGAACACCTCTCGTCCACTAAATTAGATTTTAAGTTAAATCATGTAGGAATTTTAGTTATAACTAGTTCCTCCTTGTTGGTTTAATTGATATTTATCTAGTAGTGACATTTTAAATTTTCAGATTATTGTATGTTTGTTTTCTACCTGAATAAGTCAGTAGTTAAACATGCCCAAAGAGGAAATTCCAAACTGAATGCATTTTATGTAGTCATCAACATTCATCTAAAAGTGAAATTCTCTGTTTTTCAGCAACAGAAACTGGCGTACTTTTCACATATTAGTTATACGTTTTGTACAATTTGTGAAGTATGGCAGGAGTCAGCATTCAAATCACGTCTAATTAACATGACATCATTCTCATAGGTTCTTTCACTATCTTCTCGCATATACTGTCACTCATTTATCCTACACAGTTTCGCATACCCATCTTTAAACATACTGTTTTTGTGTGATGATTGATAAGGTTGAACTAGAAACCAAACCAGGTTAGTGGGATGGTGTTTGAACCTTTGACTACAGTAGTTGAAAGTCGGACGCCTTAGTAAGTGAACTACCGGTCCATATCGACGACTTCAACCGTCTCACTACTGTTGTCTCAATTTATTTGTAGCAATTTCTGTCAGTTACTAGATATAAATAACGCTTTCAACTGGGCAATAAACTCTGACATTCAGGCTTTATGATCCTTACCTAAACTTTGTAAAAAATTTTCCGTATAAAATTTAAAAACAATCATCGGTGGTTAGTTTTGTCAACATATTTGTGTCCAAAATGCCGTCTGCAACGCATAAAATTTATAACATATCATACAGAATGTTCGTCGAATTTTACCTATTGTTTTTCTACAGTCTTATTTAGCGCCTATGTATATTCCCCTTGGTTTAATGGATAAACTGCTAGAACATTCTAGTCTTCCTATGTCATTCAGATCAAGTATTAATTCACCATCATCTGGAAATCAGATTCTGACTTTAACCGATCGATCAGTACGTGGTTTTGTAGCTGGTGCAACCAATCCCTTATTGCAATCAAACAAACAACTAACTGAGGTTTTCGTGTTATCCTTATCGCCTGTTAAGGATATTTGTGAAAACTACTTCCCGCATTTGTCTGAACTAACCGGTGCATTTGGAAAATCGACCTTTGGAATAGAAACAGATTCTATGTCGAGTCTTTCACTGTCTGAAAATTCAACGAAAACTTCTTATTCCATTAATGTCGATAGTGAAAAGAATACACAAAACACGGGATCCAAAGTTTCAAATTTTTCACGACCATTTTCTTTGGTAAGTAATCAGGTGTCGATAGATTTGTCTTGGTTTGTATATAATTGAAATAAAATGTTCTTTTTTAATGCTTAGTTAGAGATTTACACACTTTCATCCACAAGAATAGTTGTCCCATGACTTACTACTGAAGTAATAATTATACATTCCCAGTAGTATTTTACTGACATAAAAATATCGTTTGTTTTATTTTGTCTTGTCTGCAACACAATAAGTTTTCCGATCTTGACAGTAATCTATCATTATGAGAAGGATGTTCTTACCAGTATTAGTTTCAGTTATTTAGTTGATAAAAGTCAGCATTTATCCGATAGGCACTACCATATTCCACAATTAACAAGAAATTCACTTTGATGTATCATCTTTTAATTCGACTCAGGATCCCTCAGACTTCAAAGTGAACTTAATAACACCCTGAGCTCTTTGTTCAACAACTTTTACTCACATTTGTGGTCAAGCTTATTTTTACTTATCGTTAATATTTTATTATTATGTATTGTTCTTACATACAATTGTGGTATTCGCTTTTATTTTCATTTCAGCCCAAAAGATCACAACCAATCATTCAAATAAATTCAGAAAACATTACTGATAAGTATCCTGTCAACTCACGCTCTATGCCTGTTCCACTGAACCGTGCATTGCAACTAAGTCGTACTGATAGATTGTTTATTGATCATTTGGTAATGACTGTCAATACATGGTACAGTGCACAAATAGACTATTGTCAACAATTGTCTTCCAAAAAAGGTGAATTGGTAACATCCCATAGCTTTCATAGATTAGATCAATTGGATACAGAAACTTTGGAACAGCTCACATTAATCCAAAAAACAGCCTTATTAAGATTTCCATGTGAGTATTTATTGTTATCAGCCGAGATTTTCCGTCTTATAATTTTGTTATATGATAATTGTGTCTGCTAATCCAAACTATCCCATTTCAATTGAGACACTTATTCACTTCTGTTCTGCACCTTATGAAGTAATATAATATGACAGAAATCAAAATATTCTAGGTTCAAAATCAGTATACACCGGTGACTGTTGAGTGGCCTTGAATCGGACTCCGATTTGATCATGTTTTTTTTGCTATCGAAGTATACATGTCGCCAATCCTCGCATATAATCATCGACTTAAATCGCGTTGGTGAATAATGAAAGTAAGTCAAATACGAGAATGGATTTTTGAATACGTATATTTCGTACAATCGTTGATCGGAAAGCGAAGCAAAACGAAATAATGTGCAATGTAGAAGGCGAATGAACCAAATCGATTTAACCAAGCGTGAATCGATATTTACAGTCAGATAAAGATAAGTTACAGACATGTGATGAGTAAGATAAGAAATGCGCGAATAATTAACAAGGTCAAAATGTCACTCAAGAAGAATGAATAAATTGGCCTGTCCGCAAGGTAGAATAGGCTATGTGAGTTTAACATAGTAACCGATACTACAACTGTACTACCTTTTCACTTGCAAAATTATAAGTTATAAACAGACATTTCTGTAAATAATACATCCCACAAATTTTTAGTGTTGGACTTAAGATTGAAGAGAATATGAAAGACATTCATCTGTATAAAGATTGCATATGAATGCTCTCAACTATTTGTTTTTTAATATGTGTCAGTCAGTCAGCTACAACGAAGGACCAGACACATATACGCATCGGCTGAAGCTGCCACATCTCATCAGCACAACAAAACGAACACCAAGTTCATAGACGTAGTCACTTCAATGGTGATAATACATAAAAGAAAGAATTAGTTGGTAGAAATAAATATATAAAGTAATTTTAATCCGACGGTTTAAGGGAAGACAAGGAGTATATACATCGACGCCATTGTGATCGATTTTGGACCGTGTCACCCAGAGTCACGCGGATCCCAACCAAGTAACCTGCATCTGCCAACCTGGCTAAGATCAGAAGTTAGTGACTTTGTGGATTGATGCCACGTTTTGGTTTGGTCGACCCTAACTTTTTTCCAACCATTTACAACACCAATCAGCATTGCGTGTCGTGAAAGTCGGTAGGTGGGAATACGTAATATATGACTCAACCATCTCAGTTGGTGTAGATTGACGACCTCATCAACTGATTCACCATCATTCCCTAATACTGTACGTCTAACCTCACTATTACTTACCCAGTAATCCCAGCAGATGCGAGCAATTTGAATTCAATTAAACCTTTCATTTATCAAAGAGTAATCATTAAATTGTTATTATATATTTAATCTCTCATTTTGTCATCAACTTGATCATGTTTCCTTCATGAATTAATCAAACATTTCATTTAGCTAAATATCAGAGATTCATGTCTTCATTACTTCTAATGAAACTAATAAAATAGAAGTTTTGTTAGTTAAGCTAAAATTGTTCATTTAAATTTTTGTGTGATTTTCTCGTTTAAAAATTTGCCAAACTAAGTTTTTAAAAAAAACTACTATCCACGTGAAAATTACTACTTATTTGTTGGCACTCATCAACAATGACTTTTTATCTTTATATATTTTAGTAATATTGACAAATCTTTTTTGTCAACTTGTAGGTATAGTCAGTTTAATACAATAAGGCAGACATATATTTATCGTATAATGATGATTTACAAGCTATCACATGATAGCAATTTTGTAGAACAACATGTATCTTAATGTATTCACAGTTGTGTATAAAACTATATGTTCTAATCAACATATAGGACTTTAGAAAAATATCCATGGACTCGATTTGTCTCACCATATCAGCACAGTAAGATCAAATTAACAAAATGAGTCGAAGTAATTTTAGGGTTCGTGATAAGGTTTAAAATAAAAGAATGTATTCTTAGAGTGAAAAGTTTCAAAACATATTGCAACACCATCAATTTTGATTCATGTTACTGAGTATCTCCAACCAAAAAAGTAAAACTTTGTCACTGAAATAAGTTAGTGCATATTCAATTATAGAGTTATTTCAAGAACTGTAGTCTGTTTAAAATTCACTTTAATTACGTAATTGAACTTGACTCTTTTGTACACAGAAATCAGGTTTACAATATTAAATTTTTGCCACTTCAGGTGCGTACAAATCCCTGATCCAAATCTCCTTCAAACCAATAATAAATATATTTTTTGTTATATCCTAATGAGTAAAAAAACTGTATTCATGACGTTTCGTGATTTAATTTGGACCACTTCTTCAGAGTAAATAAGTGACCGAAATAAATTAACACAATTCTAAATAGTACAATGATTTTAAACAACGACTGACGTGGTAACATGTGACCATGTGCAAAGGATTGAGCGGTTTATCGATTTCCGTTCTCTTATCAGATATAGCCATACAAAGTAGTTTTGGAATACTTGTTTACCAACTACACGCTTTTTACGACCATTGTAAACTGCTCCACAATATCAAGTAAACTGGTAAATGCATCTAATTTATGGAAGTTTCTAAGATAAACTTCCGCTTTGGGCCACCCACACTGTGCATGATCAATTATATATATATATATATATATATATATATATATATATTAAAGAATCCCATCATGAAAATTAGAACAACATACGTTGTCAAGTATTAATACTTTTACTGTTATGTAACTTTCTGTACATATATTGTCTTTTTTTCGTTTTATTTATTTAGCTCAAACTATTTTAGATGCTTGGATACGACAACAGTTTTTAATTTATTTAAGAGCATTATTATTATCTGCTCAAGGTTACAGTAAGTTGTTTATTTGCAGTTTCTTTTCACTGCTGTATGTTTACAACCCACGGATATAAATTATCAGATAAATTCTTTCTTTTTTTGTTGTGAACTAATTGCATAAGTAATCAAGTGCTATGTTCGTGACTTAATTATCATTTCAATCTGTAAGTTCACGAGGTAATATTAACCTTTAAATAAGCGCTTTTCGCGAAACTTATGCAATCTTAATGTTAAACTCTACATGAATATTTTCAGATCGGATATAATCAAGAATGTTTCCAATATTCTTATACAATTGTATCGGTTTTCGCTAATTTTGTATCTTAGTAATGGCTTGCAGTTGTCTAGTTTTTTTTTGTCATAAAGTTAGTAAGCACAGAGTGATATAATCAGTGTTAATAAGATTTAGTGTCAATGTCGCTTATTTACTACCAACAGCTGTGATAATTATATTCCATCGAATAGCAAAGTGTATTATATTTCTCCAGTTTTCATATTATTTACAAATATAACTGTATATAACCCACCACATTCGCAACTTGCTAATAAATGTACATCGAATGTAATAACCACAGCATAATTTTCGTTCCTTATTACTCCAGCTATCTTCAATGATAATTACTACCATAGTATACGAATAATTTCCTTAATTTTCAAGTCTCGGGATACTTCACGATAAGTTGGTCACCTTAGACCACTGATCTGCCATCCAACGGTGTTAATGTCTAACTTCAAACAATCCACGAAATTGAGCGACACATCCACCATTGTCATCAGTCATCATGATCTCAGCTTCTTAAATTACTACAATCTCCGCAAAACCCCTGATATTAATCAACTTATGCTCACTAGTGACTGGCTTCAAGAGGTATATCCTGGAGTTCTAGTGAGAAGTAGTGACCAGTAGAGTTCAACCGAGTCAGTTGTGAGATAATAACTCACTGATGACAATGGTGGATTTGTCGCTCAATTTCGTGGATTGTTTGAAGTTAGACATTAACACTGTTGGATGCTAGCTGGTTCAGTGGTCTAGTGGTTAAGCGATCGCCCGCGTCACTGTTAGGTCGTGGATGCACACTTCTGAGGAGTCCAATAATAGGACGAAACGGCCGTCCAGTGCTTTCAGATTTTCCATGGTGGTCTAGCTTCAATTGACTCATGATCTCAAACATTATATTTTCAAAAAAAACTATCATTTTTTTAATCAAAAGTCTATTTGTTTAAAGTTATTTGTTATAGGTAACTTAAATCTAATCTACTTATAATTTTGCATAATAATAATTCTTTATAGATTCCAATGCATCAGACTTTCAGTCAGCCTATTTAACTTGTTTTCGTTTAACAAGAAATTTTTTAATTTGGCGTTATCAATTTATTCCAAGTCAATTGTTTACTGTTTCTAAACCAGAACAAATTCATCATAATACTTCTGACACCCAATTAATCAACAAATCAATAGATGATAATGTGGAAATTTTAAAAACAACTGGAGATTCATATGTAAGTTTCTGTTTGTTTTAATTTCTTTCTAGTTTTTTTTCTTTATTGTTGACTGAAATGTTTTCAAGTTTAATATTACCTTCTTTGTCTTCTGATAGAATATGTACTGCAAACTTTATTATCATTTCAGTCAGTCAGTAACAACATATTATCTTATTAACCTGATCCAATCATTTCAGTTATTTCTTGTGTAGATTTGCTTACTTTTAAAAATCTATATGATTGTATTAGTTTTCATTAGCTGGTCAAATTTCAAAATTATTTTAAGGATTGTTGAACGTATTTTCTTTTACTTTTGTGTTGCTTGGTATGTACGTAACATCATTTTATGTAAAGAAAATATTTGGACTTGGAAATAATGACTAATCCTTGTGTTTGTGTGTGTGTGTGTAAGATCATTAAGTATTTCGTACGAAAGCATATTGTTAATGAAATCCAACTTTATCTTTAAGGATTTTATGTGTTATTAATGCTTTTGGGCTGCTGAAAGTTTTCGTAAATTGAATGAAGGTAATAATAATAAATATTGTATTCAGTGCTCATTAGGTTGAGATTACATGGTGGTTGGAGGTAGTCGACAGGAAACCCTGGACCCGGGTTTCGTGCTACTTGGCACTCGTCAGTAAGGTGTACCTGTAATCCTGAGGGAACTGATGCTCCCTGGCTGACTCGATCTCGTGTCACCCAGCTTCACAGTCAGAGACGTTACCACTGAGCTATCCGACCCGCGACCAACCTCCTGTAGGACTGGGATGTAATCACAATTGATTGATCGCCACCCAGTGATCAATCAACTGTGCTCATTAGGTTCGAACCAGATATTCTCCAGTTTCTCAACCGATAGTAAATCATTTTTACTCAACGAATGATTTTATGTCATCCTCATTAAAATAAACAAATTAGCTTTACGTGGATTATACATTTACGAATATACCGAATAGGTAGTTTTTTCAAATTCAGCTTACATTTCCTAGTCGTTATCAATATTTCTATTCGAATTATGAATTATAGATGACAAACTATTTGTTAAATGATTTGGTCTTATCTATAAATCGTTGTAATAGATCTGTCTTCTTCCTTCCTTATATTTTAAACGATACGTAATGTTACTGAATAATCATTTATTAGACTATTGATAATGCACCTGTGTCAGATGAATCTTTCTAGATTCATCATCTAGTTTTTAGCAACATATTAATATTAATGGGTTTTCATTACTGTTTTCACTACCGAACTCCATATTTCAATAGGTTATGATGAAGTATTCATAACTTAGTCTAGTTGGTTCCTTCTCTGAGTGACACTTGATACTTCTACCTCTCTCATGTAACTAGCTATTAGCCTTGTGATTTTGTAGTCATGGGAATAAATACATTCTATGAAATCCGATAAGGTGCACAATAAAACATTTCTGCAAATGTATAATAACATTCTGCTTTTAATTTGTAAATTGTAAGTAGGCTACGAGTTTGTCAGCACTAATACTATTTCAGAAAACATTAACTAAGCTTAAGCTACGTTTATTTTTTTTACAAACGAATTCAGTTACTTTTTCAAACATCGACACCTCCCAGCGATTGGAGACTACCATATCAAATGATGTTAATTTTATATATTATTACTAATATCATGTACCTACAATAGTTTGATAAAGAATTTTCCCAACATGAACGTTAAATTGGAATCCCAATGCTGTGATACCACTGTATTCTGACCCAACTTAAGCAAAGTGACATAACTGTACACAATTAATAGTTGGAAAATATGAACAAAACTTCTTTTTAAACGTCATTAATTGTAGTACGCAGATTTGATTAGAATTGAGACCCAAACACTAAACTCATTGATTTTCCACTATACCGACATCATATTCGATAAAGAAAGTTAAATGCTTCATATGGAAGAATTTCTATAGTTTATAACGATTTAAAACTGACACGAATATTTGGTATTTCAGTTATTGTTCTGTTGTAAATCCGAGCATGTAACCAAATAAACAAGCTTCACTAAAATCTAGAAAGTTATAATATAGTTAACATAAATACATCATTATGTATGGGCACTGTAATAATAAAGTCACCCAACATTTCAATAAATTTCTATTTTGGTTTTTTTGTTTTGTTCCAGAATTCACAGTTGCAGGACTCATGTACAACTTCACCAGACTCTGTTGCTGCTGTAGTCTCGCAACATCCTGGACGTAAACTTGCAGAACCTGATGATTGGAATCAAATTGCTGGTAGTTTTAAAAAGTTTGTCTGCCCTCTATCTATCATTTAAACATTTTATCAAATGAAATTTTTATGTTGATATGCATTTTAGAGGCCATTCAGCAATATTTTCGAATAGTGTGCATATATTAAACACTATTATGAAAATCTGATTATAGTTAGAATTAACTCAAATTTAATTTTGATCAATTCGAATCCATAACTTTGCTTCTTGATAGTATTCTTTGATACAACACTTCCATATGAATTATAAACGATAGTGAAAAAAGGACTAACAAAACAAGTAATGTCACATTCTGTGGTTGTACATTCAGATAAAAAGATACGCGCTTTCTATACTTCAGTTCAATCTTTTATGGGAGTGAGTAGAATAGAAATCGGCGAATGAACAAAAATGCATGCAGGTCATTAATACGCGGATATATATAATAGACTTCTTCCAAGTTTGTAATTGTCTTTGCTATCTCTTATCAGGCGCTTGGCCTTGAGATGGCATATGAACACAAGCGCATGGTATGTTCAATCTTGCTCAGCCTATTACCTCTACCCCCCTGGAAAGTAGACCTTCCCCCCTGCGGTTCAATTAGGCAAGTTGTCATTTTTTTCAGACTTATATTACAAAGAGAAATTTATGAACATAAAGGGGCCACTTAGTGTACAGAACATGTCTTTGCGACTCATTTTAAAATAACTTGGATTATCCTGTTGTTAATATTTTGACTGAAATTTGATCAACTTTGGTTCGCATTTGAGGATCCTGTGCGGATTACCTCAATTTAGTCATTATGATCCAAGTTAATATAGAATAGTTGCAATGTGGGTTCCATCCCTAGCCACATACCATTTATTGTATATTAACGTGTGTTTTTGCATTTTAACCCTTTATTACCTCAATTCGTGAAATAGGTTGGTATATATGAAATACACCGAATGTTTTTATTTCACTATTATCTTCACATTTGATTGCCTTGGATTTGTAGATGACTTCATTGGTCGTAAGTAGTTATATTACTTATATTTAGTTAATGAACTTTGGAAATTTCACATCAATCAGCTTACTGAAACTGCAGACAGAAGTAAACCGCTGTTTATTTCTCTCTATTTTCTAATGTTTCTCCAATTAGTGTGTCAGTACATAATGGATAACGTCTTTTGAACGAACTAATCTCCATAATATTCCTGCTCAAATTGATAGTAACTAACTAACTACCTGATACACAAGCATTGAAACTCTTCAGTTAAACGAAACAATTTGCCTACCATTCGGTATTATCTTTTCGAGAATCCGAAATGGGTTTTAAAGTTTTTTTATCACTTTCTTAGTTGGAACTTCACATAACTTCAAATTATAAAATATATTTTTAAATTCATTTCAATTTCTCATTACATAGGTTGAGCAACATGGCTGCTGATCAAGGTCGGAGACTTGTCAGTCAAAGTGTTGCTGGTCTTGTGAAATTCGGCAGTAAGTATTTAATGTTTTCGGTTGCAATCAAAGTTAAATTATAAATAAGTACAGTCAGTCATTGCCAACGTATATCATGACGAAGATATAATTTATCCTAAGTTTCCATAATGCATTAGCTCGACAAGACGATAACAGCACAATACATAACAAAAGCAATTTAAATAATGTAGTGGCAGTGATGATAAGAAAGACTTAATATTGGTAATGTTTTTCAAAAAGACAGAGTGGAAAGTATGAATGAAAAAATTCTTGAATTCGCAGTCTTAATTAAGATAAATAGTGAGTAACTTCATGTAGAAAGAACTGTTGTAAAGACCACTCAGTGAAAAAACTGAGAAAACATGAAAATGCGAAATAGCCCGTAATATATAGATCTCAGTGAACATGTAGAGTTATTAAACCCTTTGTCCCCATAATGTGACTTTAAAAAGGATGCACCCCGCTATCCTACCGAACAATTGCCCAGTCCCATCTTTAATAATTCTATACTACCATACTGTTGAATTTCACATAGGACTAATTCAGTTATCAGCTAGTATGAGAACTAAATACTGGGTTTGCAAAAGGCGGTTATCAAGTTTATTGAATGTAGAAGAAATACCTGTGTGTAGCAGTCGAGAATGTCAGCTATCGTGAGCTGGAATTCAGTGAAGTATAAATACCCATTCAGGCATGTTCGAATAGACTCATTTGGTCTGTTTATCGCTAAAAGAGGAGGGAGCTCTCGTAAAAAAATTATGGTTGTCTGTTTACTTGTTCTTAAGTATACTATAAACATCCATTCATATTTGTGCTCTCGATTTTCAGACTTACGATTAACAAAAAAATTTAGCCTAGAAATCTTATTTCCTTTAGGGTGTAAAATCTTGGAACCGTATGTTACATAACTTATTCTTGCTATGTCTTTAGGTCTTGCACCTGATTTTTACGGATTTCGCCATCGTAATGCACCTAGAAATTTCAGCAGTACTAAAACGTCGAATAAAGACGGCCCACAATTCGATATATACCAATTTCATTCAAACTGGTTTTGAAATTATACACATTAATGACTGATTTAAAGATTAATGTTTAAATTTGTAGAATTCTTAAGTCTTAAGTACAAATGAAAATCCGGACAACTTGTTCGTTTTCGCTGATTGACATAGCTCTCACAGTTTTCATCAGAGCGTAAGCGAATAAAGTGGATAATGCTTCCTTTGTGCACCGATATCCTAGGAAAATCAGACAAGTATTATGACTTCTCAGAGTTATATGATAAGCCAGATCCAAAAGTCGTGGATACATAGATCATTCGCCTATCGAATTCGTTCCGTCTGTCTTTGAGTATACAGGTACTGTATGTTCGTTCGATATTTGATTTCTCCTATTTAGCTGTGCTGTTCAAACGTTAACCATTGTGTCATGACAATGACCTTTAAAAGTTGATATAAGGCTTTGAAAGTAGTTTTCAAGACTATCGAAGTTGGACGGCTCCTCTACTTTACAATTATCATAAACCAAAATGAAGTTAGAAAATACACGTTTCGTTATTTTCGGGGAAAGCATTCTTAAGTGATTGGTGCAGACTGTCTTCAAACACCTATTTTTATGTTTACCTGTTCACTTATTGCACTAATTTCCTATACACGTGATTAGAATGTCCTTATCACACACTTTCATTATGATATTGATTCCTTACACAATCAACTAGGTTTATTTCCTCCAATTACTAGGTGATTTCAACTCGACATTTCGTTCATCTTCACCATCAAGTTTTGTTTGGAAATTCTCAGATGCTCTTAAATCAGTTGTTTCAAATCCCATATCAATTAGTTCTCCAATTCTACCACTTGAAACCACAGGTACCAAAGACGAATCAATTTCTCCACAAATCAATATTCCGAAAACTCAGATACCAGATAATAAAAATTACTTTTAATACTCAATGTTGTTCATTGTTGTAGCTGTGATATTTATTGTGATATATTTTACTTCACAATGAAGTCCTTCTTTTAATCATATTTTATATCAAGCTTTATCAATCTCATGTTTTATTATTCCCCATTTTTATGCATCTTTTTATTCTTGTGGTCGTAAATGCATTTGTATGAACGCAGTCTTGTTGTCTGATTCTTTTACGTCCAGAGTTTTGTTGTACTAATGTTATATTTTGCAATAAACATTTGTGTAATATAATAATAACTTATCAATAACCGTAAATTACTTGAAACACGGGAATTTACAGACAAGATCAAATTGTTACAAATGTTGCGTTATTTATTACGTCAAACTTGTTTGTCTATCTATGGTGGGTTATAGCTTGAATGCAGATGCAGGATAACAAAATGTTTATGCATAAACAGATGATTGCTGAATTAAAACTGGGTTATACACTGTGAAAGATAGCGTGTCATATGGATGCTGCTCTACACCAACTCAAGGTTGCAGCGTAGAGTGATTGACTACTTTGAACATGTCTTTGCCAGTTAAAGGCGGTCTCTCATCGTTGTATTTGTATATTTGGTCCCGTTTTGTTAGGAATACTCGTAATGCATATTTATCATTCGTCTTCGTGTCTGGTAGACTGTTTTTTGCTAAAGAAACCTTTGATTGTTTAGGAGAAGCTGTTATTTTTGAGGTATTTCGTAATTCTCATCTAATTTAGCTTTGACAAGTTGGAACCAACCAAATGAAATACAAAGTTAGTGTCTTATTGAATGCATTTTGGCTCGTTAGTCCTTTTTGTTCAAAGCCAATAATAGGATTTCGACCGTTACGAGTGATCTTTTAAAGGCAATTAATAGCGTATTTCAATATGCTCTGAATCTTTACTCCATTTTTCCCTCGAAATCTAATTTTAACAAGTAAGTATAGTGTATAGCGTTTTTCCAACATATTCATTTCACAAAAGTGGAAGCACAGACCATCTCTAACAAAATAGACGTCTGTTAGCCAAGGTTTATTTCTAACATATTATTGGTGACCTCAGACGTTTCGTTATATTCAAAATATCTTGTTTGACAGTAATTAGTTGTTCTTGAATAATCCAGTCCTTTGTCGTTGACTAAGATTGTTATTTAACAGTTTCCAGGGATATAACTAGTAATGATTTGAACTATTCATTAACTTGAATTAAATGGAGTCATTTGCTCCAACTTTTTAAGTGTTTCATCTAGTTTAGTTGAGTTATCTGCATTGATGGGTTCTGTTACTTAATGCAACTTGTTCTGAACTAGTTCAGTCCTGTGTGGCTGACTGCACTGTCGTCGGTGACCACAAAGGTATCAAATATAGAATTGACAATGGTGTATATACGTACTCTCTTTAAAAACATGTTATTTGCAGCCACTGGAAGTTAAATCTTTCAATTAACATTCGCACTTACTTGAACTTGCACTTGTGTGATGGCCTCCTTTCTACCCTCATCCATAACTGTACAGAGTTCGGGCGCATTTATTAACAAAAGGCTCTCCACAAAACCTGCGCTGATATGTCATGTGCTTCGGTTGCTAGTCAGTAAAATTAAAAATAAAGTAATTTTTCCGGTTCTTAGACCCAAGCAGCCAATACAGACTATATACGCTACATAATTTATGGGCTTTATAGCAAATATTGTATGCTACATAACAAGGATAACGGTTTTCAAAGTTTGAAGGTTAAAAAAATAAACTTGAATAAATATTACTCAAGTCCTCATTACATAGATTTCTAGACCAATATTACTGAGAGTTTCATCAACTTTTTGATGCACGACACTAGAAAGAGGTTCTAATTAAGCTGACACAAATAAGCATAGTCGATTTCGGGTATCAAACTATTTTTATCATTTAAGCTTTAATCTAATTGAATTATAATACTTCATTTTAAAGTACTGGGTTCAATCATTTCACAGTTTATTTACACGTCAAATCATATTCAAGAACACTGGGGAGACAAAATACGGTACGAAAAGTATTAGGGCAGAAAGAAGCGATGTTGTATGGTAATAAAATCCGGGAATACCGACGCTTACGACGGGACGTTTCGCATTACTTAGAAGCATGATATGGTTTAGTTGTATTTTTAAATACATGTAATAATTTTAAAATATCTACTTTCATCCTTGACATGCTTTAAATGAAAATTTGGGCGAAGATTATTTAGGCTATAAAAACTGGGGTTACAATGATAATAAAAAAACGTAATTTGCGTGTTAATAGCCGTCGGTTAATAACTTAACATATAGGTAGTAAGTATTTTGTGTTTAGAAATATTAAAAGCAGTCTATAGTGTAGAAACGTTAATATTGGTACTGTTTTGGGTTTAAATTATTGAGTCAAATAACGTTTATGCCGGTAAGCTGTCCATATGAGTTGATTTCCAATTGCATCTGCATTAGTAGGCTAACTCATAGAACAGAAGTATTACCGTGGAGAAGAATTTCAACTAGTGTTCCAGTTAGTTTGGTACAGTTTATTTAGTCACGGAGAGATTTTCTCGCCCTCATTTCTACTTGACCGTGATAGAATTTAGTAATACTACAAATACATATGAATTGTTATAAAAAATTTTTAAATACCTGTAAGGTAATGATTATGTGAATTTTGGACAGATAGATAAGAGCAATTCGTTAAACATAAGTGTATCCGCAAGAGACATGCTCTAGACTCAATGTTCTGATTTGCCATAGACTATTTACTTATACTTTATACCTACTGGCTGATGATGAACACAAGTTAGTTGCAAGTATTCAGTTTAGCATGAGGCGGAATACGATTTAACTAATATAGTGGTTATAAGTTTTTAGAATCAATTAAGCTTATGTGCCGCAATTATAGGTGATGTACTGCTACAAGATGTCTTCGGCTAAATAGGATTAACAGTGAGTGATGCTCGAGTTAGTGTCAGAGAGAATACCCCTGTGCAAATGGCATATCTCGAGGAAAGTTCTCCATAAATCTTTGAAATGCTTGTGCCGCATTCTTCAGGCCGAATGGCGTGTAGTAGTAGCTGTCTTGAGGATATCTTAACTAGCTTCCGGGATATTGTGATACGCCCTGACTAAGTCAATTTTAGTAAATATTTTCGTACCCTATAAACCGTTTGTGAAATCTTGGATATGTGGTATTGTGTACCTATCTGGTTTGACGGTTGAAAGCTCTGTAATCCCCGCACGGTTACCAATCGCCTTCATTTTTCTTTGGGACCATATGCAATGGGGATGCCCATTGGCTATCATAAGGGCAGATAATACCCAGTTGTAGCATATAGTCAAATTCAGCTATGGCGATTTTGAGTTTATCTGGTGCTAGTCTCATGGGTCTTTAAAACGCAGGTGCACCTTCGGTTTCGATCGTATGACTTACTTTTGGTTTGCTTTTTCGAAGGCTGGGGGTTTGGTCCAATTAAGTTAGGAAATTCCGCGAGCATATCTTGGAATTTCGCTGTTGTTACTGGAGGATTTTGTATCAAGTTAAGAGATGTGATGTGACTTCTTCGCCTTTCGTGTAATTCCAGCATAATATTGGAAACATGAGTCTGATTGACTTATTCCCAATCATAAAGAGCCTGATACATTCAAAATGTTCTGCCCCACAAACACGGGTGTATTGAAGTTATCGCCCTCACCATCAATGCTTGCTGGTCAGTAAATCCACTCTCACTCCTTTTGTGATGTTAGGCCCATTTAAGCTTATTTTTGGATGTTTGTCATACCTCACACAATCCTCTGTCTTTCACAACCTGTTGGAAAACACTATTTCTATAGGTACCATTTTAAAAGCTTATCAGGCAGTTACAAATTATTGACTGTGGGTAAGGCATGGATGCAGTGCTTCTGTTGACTATAGTATGAAGTATGGTTTGCCAATCACAGTATAAGCATTAAGAAGGGTATAATGTAGGATAGTAGTTTATTAAAGCAAGCGGAAAAGTATAGGAGTATATGAGTTGTAGACAAGGTAATGAGTGGAGAAATAATATTAATTACTAGTCATCATAGTGTACAAAAGAGACAGCTTCAGTGAGACTTTTGACACTCGTAATGAGTCTTTCTATGACTAGGTCTTTTGCTGGTTCTTCTTTTTGTGTGTGGTTTGTCGTGCGTGATCAGACAGTCAATCAACATATGCTGTTACAAACGTTCTATTTACCACAAATTCAGGAAACCATAAACCTCAATTTCGTTTGACAGAACTGGTAAATCCTAGTTCCCTTGAATCCAGTACTTTAGTTTGTCCTACGTAATTGCATTATCAATGCATATTCGGCTAATGATCTATAAAATTCTCGATTAACTGGTAATAAAAAAATTTTAACCTTTGTTTGATGCTATGACTAGTACCTACTGACAACCAAATATTTTATTACATGAAAGTAATCGAGATTTCTCAGCTCAGTCACGCGTGCGTGATCACTCTTTTTGAATCAAATATAATAATAATTTATTCTCAGATAACAGTTTGTTACATGAGGCATGCCAGTTTACAGGCAAGATCAAATTGATACAAATGATATAATATTCTCTTCCTTGTCTAAACGTGTTCTTCAGAAGTGATAGATATCATTTTGCTGACTATCAAATTAGGAGGATTCAGTAAGGATTGTGGTGTGATTTCCAAGTAAGATCCAATGGTGACGAATCCACAAGTTTCGGATTACGTCTATTACTAACGTATCAAAGATAGATGTGCCAATGCCTAATCGGACTATTTTTTACTAACCCACTGCCAGTATACATAGATGATAGTCTCATGTCAAATGAGTTTATTCCACATTTGTGATATAATATTCATGTCACTGGACATAGAAAACCCTCAGTCACAAAGATTATTGGTCGAGCAGAAATTGAAATATACGAATGATTCCAACTCACATAGATTGTTTGTTTGTAATATCACATTGACGTTTGGGACTGCGATAAATCAATTTCATTTGACATATATTTCCCTCCTGTGCGGATGAATTCGATTCTACTGGCAGTCATAGTGTGTCTATGTTTGCACTATTGATTATTAATTCCATGAAGTTAATTCATACTTACGTGTTCTAAATTCATATATAACACATAAAATTTTATTTTCTTAGAAGCAATAGTGTTTAACCATTACGCCTCTATGACCGAATACTTCCATTGATTCAGCAAACATCATAATCCTTTAAAGTAGAACTCAGAAGGTGGGGCTGCTTACTTAAGTGATCTTAAGTCGAATACATAT